GGGTGGCCAGCAGGAACAAGGAGATATTTGTCCCTCTCTACTCTGCCCTCCTGAGGTCCCATCTGGAGTATTGTCCAGATCTGGGACTTCCATCACTGGAAAGACAGGGAGCTGTTGGAGAGGTCCAGAAGAGGGCCACAAAGATAATCAGCTGGAGCACCTCCCCTATGAAGACAGGCTGGGGGAGCTGGGCTTGTTCAGCCTGGAGAAAGAAGACTGCAGGGTGACCTCATTGCAGCCTTCCAGTACCTAAAGGGAGCCTAAAAACAGGAGGGGAATCAATTCTTTACAAGGGTGGGTACTGGCAGGACAAGGGGAAATGGTTTTAAATTGAAGGAGGGAAAATTTAGGTTGGATATCAGAGGGAAGTTCTTTACCAAGAGAGTGATGAGGTGCTGGAACAGGCTGCCCAGAGAGGTTGTGGATGCCCCGTCCCTGGACATGTTCAAGGCCAGGTTGGATGGGGCCCTGGGCAACCTGATCTAGCATTAGATATGGAGGTTGGTGGACCTGCTGTGGCAGGGGTTAAGGGCTCGATTATCCTTGAGGATAATCAATCCCTTCCAACCCAAGCGATTCTGTGATTCACTAGGAGGAGGTCATAGTGGACACCAGTCTGTTCATTCTGTGCACCAGTGGCTTAGAACTGAGATTAAGAGAAAATCCTCTCACATTGGGATACATAGAAATCTTTGTTAGGCAGCCTGTGTTCTTCTTTTCCATAGCTTCCCGCTCTTCCTAGAAAAATTGCAAATGCTCTTGAGATTGCATCAGGCATGCTTAGGCTGCCTCAAAGACACATTTAAAGAGATGTGGTTTTTCCTCCACCTCATATATAACCAGATTTATCTTTGAGGGAGAAAATTTAAAGAGGACTTAGTGAGCATTTTTAATTTTTTTTCTTACTAATAGCTTGTTAAAGAATAATCCTTTGCCAGCAATAGGCATGTTAGTTGTGTCAATTTCGATAGTAAAAGTTTCATTCCAATGCCATGGAAAGGAAAATATTTCAACGAATGTTCCTCTGCTCTAGCACAACAAATTGCATTTTGACAACCTTATTTCTATTTTCATGTCATTATTAGTAGTCAATACTTGATGGCAATATTGCTTCAGCCAACTTTTTGTTTAACCACAACAATTGTACATTCAAACCATTGTCACTTAAATATGATGGAATATAGGTGATAGAAAATATGTCCACCTGAAAAAGCCTATTTTGTTCATATTACTAAAATAAGAGAAACTTGGAAGATGGATTGCCAGTCCAGGTCCCTCTGGTTGACCTTCCTTCCTCATTTCATATCAACTGCACCAGTCAGCTTGATGTTATCAGCAAGCTTGCTGAGGGTACACTTGATCCTACTGCCTGTGTCATTGGTAAAGATGTTGAACAACACTGGTCCCAAAATAGACCCCTGGGATGACACCACTTAGGACTGGCGTCTATTTGGACACAGATCCATTGACTACAGCCTTCTGGCTATGACCATTCAACCAACTCTTTATCCACTGAATAGCCTAGCCTTAAAATCTGTATTTCTTCAATTTAAAGATAAGAATGTGGTGCGAGAACATGTCAGAGGCCTTGCACAAGTCCAGGTAGACAACATCATTGCTTCTCATTTGTCCACTAGTGCCATCACTCCATCATAGAAGGCCATAGATTTTCTGATATAAATCCCAAATCCATTGCTTTCCAACTTTTCTGTGAGCAGCTAAGCTGTGGCTGCTGATGGTTCCATTCAAAGGGTGAGAGATTTAGAGATGACTGGCTGCGGCTTATATGATGGAAGCCAGTTTAGTATTTACAGTTTGTTTTGAAATTTTATAGGAAAGTAAAATTGTGGCTTGTTTTTTTAATCCAACCATTTCGGTCCATGTCTTCCTTTTATCTATTGTTGTGCCCATGATCTATTTAGTACAAATAAGAAGCCTTGTGCTGTGATTGGTCTGTGAGATTGCCATATTTTTGAAACCTATCAATGCAACGTGAACTTGTATACTCAAAGTGGTATTTTTTCAGATACAGATTTATATCAAGAAATCTTTGAAGCTTAAATAAGTAAAAAAAAAAATAGGCAATGAAGTCAAACAATGAAAGAAAATAAGTTTTTTTCCTTATTCTAGATTTATCTCAGTATTCTTGTCTCAGACCTCAAAATGTGAAGGATGATAGTTAGGAAAATGAATGAAATACATAAAGTGCATATTTAACATCTATTTGGTTTCCAAAAAAAGAATTGCGGTATGGCTAACAGAAGCATAATGGTTTTCTGTGTAATGTATTTATGCTGGCTGTAAAATTAGGAACTGTCATTACAACCTCACAAAGCCTGAGTAAGTGCAAGACACGTAAATCAAGAGGTCCTACTGCTATAAAAATGTCAATGATCTGAATGGCTTGAAAGTATTGAAAGATATTTGTGTACATGTACACCAGCTACTAGGATACAGACATCAATAGAGGATTTAACTGACAAATTTTAAAGCTAAGATCCAGCCCTCTTGTGCTTTCTATTTAACTCACTGACCTTGAAGTGGTTTTATTTGAGCTGTAGAACTCAGAGCATCCCAAGTACAAGGAACAGACAACTTACTTGCAAATATAATTCAAAGTTAAGATACTGTTTTAATGTGTTATACAGTCCTCATGCTTTTTATTCAAGTTATTATACTCTCATGCAAAAAAATGCAATTAACATCATAGAACTGGAAGCAATATTCTGTATGTAATGGATACACTTTAAAAGGCAGTGGATTGTAAAGGAGTGATATAGTGCAGGAAACAGAAAATGAAATGGGAGACAAATTGCAAGTGGAGATGTGTTCAGAAAATGTGTGGAAACCATAACACAGTCTAGATGGAAGAATGAAAAGACTTAAAGGACTTGAGCACAGTTAGCTGTTCTTTCAGAGGTTGTTTTTGCTTACTGTAATGCTCCTATGGAGACTACTATGAAGCAATGCCTGACAGTCCAGAACTGAGAATTTCTTTTTTGTTATTGGCTGATTATAAATTAAATTACATTAAAAAAAAAAAAAAAAAAAAAAAAAAAAAGCTCACAGAGCTAGTTCATAGCAATGAGGACACTGGGACACTGATAATCTTTACAATGCCATGTATTTTGTTTAGTCCCATAACTAAACTTAAAGTTTCTGTTAGAAATAAGGGATACAACCCCTATGTATGAAGCCTTTGATAGTGTGTCTGGAGGCTTATTAAGGAGGAAAGAAGGATCATCTTTAAGTCTGTCTCTGCAAAAATAATTTTTTAAAAGCCTTAATTGCTAGGAAATTTGATGTGCTCTGACTTTTTTTTCATGAAACAGGCTTTACAGTAAATAGCAGGCACCACTATAACTATAGACAAGATGAAACAGTGTGAAAAGAAGCAAAATTATTTAGGATCAGAAGATTGATACAGAAAAAATGTAGGAGTGAATAAGTGAATACTTAAAACTAGAAAAAGAAGAATATTATGCTGATGTGTCTTGTCGGTCACTATACTGACTAAAGTTAAAAAAACACTGCAACGTGTAAGTGTATTACCAACTTCAGTTGCACTGTAAAGCAGAAGTTTTGAAGAAAGCTTATTTTCATATGTTGCTACCATCAGTATCCTTGAATATGTTCTGAAAAAAGGATTTTAAAAAAATACTGGGTCTACAGCAGTCACCATTTGTAATTATGAGCTATTGCCTGAATCTGTTTGCAATGAAGCCACCTGTTTGCTCAGTATAAATAACTTAGAATTTCCTGCAAGGAAATTACACGAAGCATCAATAAGGAAAGATATTACATTTTTAGGTCAGTATGACTATCATTACTTGGCATATATCTTACTGATAACATTTGGCGGACAGTATCATAGAGGGCTAAAAAAATGTTACTCTGTATTTTGTTTTCAGGAATGTTAGGTTAGCTTCTTCAGTAACAGCATTCATCCATTCTGCTTTTGTTTTAGTGAATCCCTTGGTATTTTCTTTCTGTGAGCATGTGTTGTGAAGAGATTCCAGAGACTTAGACCATCAGTGTTTTTGGATGTAAAGGTTTCACATGCTTCAAAACGTGATCTCTTCTGTTTGCTATGGATACACCTAGCTTTGTCACGAAGACAGAAAAAGAAGGGAAACTTCTTGCAGCCCTTTGTCCTCTTCTCTGCTCAAGTGACAAATGCAGACTGGATCTAAAAAGAAACCTCAGTTTGCAGTAGTAGATGCTTATTTTTGTCTTTACTCAGAATTGATTTCTGGCTTTATGCTACTGGCATGAAGAGTTTCACAAAAGATTAGTTTTATGATTTCCCAGCTTGTTGTATAGTTATGTGTGCCTTTAAAACACAACCATCTGTCATTCTATCTTTTAGAGTACAAGCTAGTTTTAGGTATCTTTTGTAGCAGTTAACATGGATATCTGGAATACTACAGTACTTATTGTAAATACTACAATACCTGTACTTTGGAGAATGCTTGACATCTCAGATGTGATGATAGGACAGCTCTTGCCAAATGTTGACTTTTTAATGTGGTGTTTATTTCATTTCAGATAAATCTCTTACATCTTCTTACCTCCTAAGTAATATTTAGTTCTCATCCCTACATCTCAAAACATTAGATTTACAGTTAGCATATTTTTCAGTAGTATTTTTCAGTCGTATTTTTCAATAATTTCTGTGTGCTGTCATAGCCATGTACAAGAAACCTTCCACAGGGGCTATTTGAGAAAACTATTCATTTTCAGAGTTCTTGAACACTTAAATAGGTGTTTATTTCATGTGTTTTTTTCTTTGCTTGTTTGTTTTCAAAAAGAATCCTTTTATCCTCAAAATCTGAGTCACTGAAAATTACGTACTGGTTTTACTTACTGTGTGCAAGGTAAATTTTAAATTAACGCTGGTATTTAAATGCAAAACATATTTAAATAATTAATGTGAAATGGTGTGATCAGGGATTAGAAATGAATGTGCAGACCTTGCAACATAACTGTTTTTTATTCAGTTATAGGTGCCCAACGCAGGAGAAGTCCCAGTGCCCTTGCCATTGAAGTATTTGAATCTCATTTGGGAAGTCATATTTTACAGGTAAAAAAAACAAAAAAACAAAAAAACAAAAAAAAGCTTTTCCATGACAAAGTCAAAATTGCTAGTCAATCCTATTTCTGCCAATAATTTGAAAACTGTTGGTGTCAGTATTTATTAAAAGTCATATTTCTTTCTTCTTAGAAAAGCCCATGCTTGGGACAGTTTTAAGGAGAGGGAGGACATGTATTGTGTAGATAAATGTTTTGTTATTTTCAACTGTGCAGTACGTGTCTGCTTGCAGAATGACTCTATGTGTTTGTGTGTGTGCATAAAGCAGTATTTTGTGTTGTTGATTTCATTTTCCTTATGTGTCATGTACAAATTTAGGGTGTTTTTCCCCCACTTTGGTTTATGAACACTGCTTTCCTCTTTGATATCACATTTGTCATGATTATATATCACAAATCTGCAGCAATCTGTAAAGAGGAAAAATGAACAGCAGCATGCCTCTTTGGTTTCCTCAGCTATGAGATAAAAACTAATGAGATATTTGTCAAAGAATTTAGTCACACTGTTCAAGTAACTATATTCCGGGAGGATTACTCTGAAGAAAAAAAAAAAAAAAAAAAACCAGTAACCTGATGGAGATGTTCTTGTGCATGTTTTGTTTTGTCAGGATTAGTACAACCCTTCTTACTTTGCAATAATGAAAAGTGGAGCAGAAGCAGTTAAGAATGTGAAGTGTTCTGTCAGCAAGGCAAAAACACAGCACTATGGAAATTAAAAAAACACCCTTTACATGTAGCCTTTTCTAACTACAGCATTGAATAACTGCACTTATTTAGGAATGTACACAGCTTCTCTATGCAAATATATTGCTTGTTGTATTATCTTTTGAGAGGTAAATTAGGATATTATCATGAGAAATATTCCACTTAATTTGAAATGATTGAGAGCTATCTCTCTATGTTACTTCAGCTGTGGCATTCAAAAGCACTGCAGAATATGTCAGATTTTTTACATCTTTTTAAAGTAACTAAATGCTGAATGGCAACAAAGATAATTTTAGGAAAACATGAAATTAACTACTAGAATGAATTTATCTTTGGAACAAAAATCATGAATGAAGTTATTTTCTTACTTGTACATCCTTGGCAGAGACATAGTTCAAGTTTTTATTCTGTAACAAATATTTGTATTATAGATATGGTAGCAAAGGTATATGCACCAGTATCTGGAGCATTGTTTGAATATTAGACAGAAGTGCTGTCTCATAAACAGGAAAAAAAAAGAATAAATAAATGTGGGTTTCATGATATTCCAATTTATGTCATTTGTGTTTTGAGTATGTGGACAGGCACTATATATCCTAGATGTATGCTTATTACAGTATAAATTATAACATCTAGATAAACTCTCATTGAGACTGATTTATTTACACTTGTTAGATGCTAGGTTTGACACTATATGAATAATTCAGTTATAAGAAAAAACTAAGTTGTCCACCTTGAAAACTACTGGACATTTCAATTTTTCACTGATTGTGTATTTAAGAATATTTAGTGTTTTTATTACTTGTTTAAACATATTCCACTATTGTTTTTATTTTTTTCTACTTATACCTAATAAATTAGGGCGTTTTTTTTAATATAACTTTATCATAGTGCTAGTAAGTAATCTATGTTATGCTTCTATCTGTAACAAATAGACTGAAAATTTTCAGTCAAAATTACCATCAACATCTTATTGAATATCTGTTGAAGTGTTGCCTTTGCAGAGAGGGTGGTGCCTTTTACCAAATTACTCCCATTAATCTCCCAATTGATAATAGAAACTTACACTCTGACATTTAAAAGATAATAGATTGTTGGTGATGGATAAAGGACAAAATGAATTAGTAATAGTCACAAGTTTATCATGGTGTGTCAAAATCTTGTCTTATGTAGTAGAGTAGTCAACACTTTGAAGGAAAATTTAGGTCTCATGTTCAAATGCACCAATTTAAAAGGATCTGAACAAACTTCAAATAATTGCCTTGAGGTGTTACAGGTAGAAAAATAATCTTGGGAAGGTAGAAGATGCAAATAACGACAACCAGACGGACTCTGCAATGGAGTGCTATTCTAACAAGTTCTTGTTTAGTCTTCTGCTTCTAGAAATGATTTGCAAAGCAGCACTATGTGTATTGTTTGCAAGTGAAGTAAACAGCCTTGTAGAATGATTATACCTTCTGACTACCTCTGTTTTTTGGAGTCTGCTATCTGAGGAAGTTGAACCTATTTGTTTAATCCCTTTTGCTATTAATATTTTGAAGACTGGGTTAAGTGTAAGCTCAGAAATTAAGGAGCCTCTCTAATCCTCCTAATATTTTGATACTTCAAAATTTATTGACAGACACATGAGAAGCATGCTTATAAAGGTGGATGTAATTTATTTACGATGATTTTAAAATAGAAATGGTGGTGCATCTTGTAATATTTTACATCTGACTTCTACAAGCAAGAAGTCTCAGCTGTGTCAGAAAATTCCTAGCCACAGCCAATTACAACTATATGTCATACTGAACAGATTCCTCTGGTAGGTTTACAGACAAGGAAACTATCCACCATGTGCTTACAGAAAAAAAGAAACCCCAAAACGTGAATACTTAAATGTTGTCATACAAGTATCTCCAAAGTCAGGGCAGAATACTTTTTAAGCATTTCCAAGTAAAATCACCTGAATAGTAAACAGTAGAAATGCTTGTAATAGCAGGGGAAGTAGGTGAAGGTAAGGCAATATGAATATGTTCATTATTTTCTGACAAAATTTTTGGTTTGTCAGATTGTGTGCTTTGTTTAGCCTACATTTATCTTCTTCAGAATAGTGGTGTTATAGTGAAAGTAGACTTTGATACATCTTTGTTTTACATTTTTTATGTATATATCAGCATTTATTAAATAAGTGTAGTAAAAAAAGTATTACTTCCTCTCCCTGCTATTCAAAAATTTGACTGAAACTGGTTGTAAAAATGAGAATTATTGGTTTATACAAGGCCCCTGAATTTTTTCTGTAACTTCATTGCTATTGAAGAGGTGTGGAAAAGGGTCAATGACCCCATATTCTTCACATAATCAGGAATGATCAGGAAATGTAGAACTAAATATAGAGAAAAGGGAAAGTTAGTGAATATATTTGCATATGCAAATTAGCTTAATTGATACTGCTTGCCTCTACAGGGATTTTTCATTACAAACTGGAGTGCTACATTGTTCAGCTCATATTGAGTAATTTAGTAACTAATGAGACCAGTTTGCACTAATTTGCATATGATAAATGAGCTTAATTGCAGTAAATAACTTGGAGGCATAATTACTTAATTTTCCTGTGTTGCATGGCTTTTAAGTTCACGTATGAACAACTCAAGATAATTTTGCATATTTAAATTAGTTGCTTTTAAAATTCTTGAACAAAAAAGAACACACCTTACAGTTTGAACTGTAAAACAATTAGAACTAAAATGTGCTGTATTTTCAAATAAAATTCAATATTTATAAAAGATATTTCTTTGTTTAAAATACTTCATCTTAAAGAATAAATATTTGGAATTAAACACAATGGAATAGGTTTTCAAGTCAGAAAAGGATAGAAATAAGGTATTAGTAATATTAATTGAACTATGTATCTGAACTGCAGTGAGTGGTACATTTTGTATTCTTGCATACAGGAGTGATAACTTTTCTAATTGCATTCTTTGCTTCAACAACACCTATTCTACTGTTAAAAAACTGTAACATTTTCGTATAGGTTTATATTACCATAAACAATACCTTAGACATTAGTTGTCTTAAATTGCATGTACTCTTCTACCCTCTACTTTTGTCTGAAGAAATCTTTAAAGCAGCAAGATGCTGAAGTGCTGAACTGCAGAAAACTTTTTTTTTTTTTTGTAGATGTTCAGTGGTGAGCACTATCACTAGTAACCTTTGTGATAGAGATTCCTACAGCTGTGCATGGTTGTTTTGCAAGTGGATGGCATAGAGTTATGAGCCACAGGAAAGAAACCACATACTTTAGAGATTCAGGAGTGGAACACTGCTCATAATTCGGAAAGGATAGCTGTACTGGATGTGCAGTTGTACTAAGATACCCTAGCCAAGTCATCTGTAGAATGTTCAAGTGCTATTAGGTCCTGTTCACATTGCAGCAGCCTCATTATCAGCACAGACTTGATCACATAAGGCAAATCTAGAATGGGAGCAGCATCTGAACTCCCTGGAAGCCATGTATGGTGCACATGGTATGGTTTGGCTTTACTCCATGCAATGGTCCCAGGCTCTCCATGAATGTGAAGGGCAGTCCCGTGTTAGAGAAACCACAGGCCAATAAATGAATTGATCTATTATATTAGCTTTTCTGTATATAAGGTAAACAAGAAAACTAACCACACACGGCCTATGAATCTAAGAACCCTTATATATTGCCAACCTTGTGAGCAAGTGAAAAATGCCTTTCATCCTAACAATTTTTGTTTTGTTTTAAAATATACTGTTTTTATTAATAATTGAGGGTAGATTTTGATTTAGATTTAAGGAAGAAATTCTTTACGATGAGGGTGATGAGGCACTGGATGTTTCCACTTTCTCATGATTATGCACTTAAGACAGTTTTATGTATTGGTGTTTCCAAATACAAGAGGTAGAGAAGCAAATAGACAATTTGACAGAAACTTCCACATCAGAATTTATTCTCTGTTGTTCACATGGGTCTTGTAATTAGTTATTTCTGTTATTAGTTTTGCAGCTCTGTGATTCTCTTTGAAGGAAAGTGTTATTCTATCAAGCTTGACAGAGACAAAAGGTAGAGAGAATTCACTATGCATCTTCACTACAATATTTAGTCATGTTTGGAAGATGTTTCGATTTACCTCTGACTACATTGAACATAACAAGACAGTGACACTATACATTTTTTCCTAAAGACAGTTTACCAGAGTGCATGTGAGTAAAGATTTTTCACGCATTGTAAATATGTGTGTTCAGCATGCAGCATCTGTGAAATCCCTGTGAGGTTTTTCTTAAGGCAAAGCACAAAATGAACAGGGGAAGTTATTTACAGTTTTGCAGTAATGAGCAATTATGGATGAAGTATAAGAATTGTGTATCAAGAGAAGTGTGACTAGTAGGTTGAGGGAACTGATTCTGCCACTCTGCTCTGCTCTTGTGAGACCCCACCTGGAGTATTGTGTCCTGTTCTGGAGCCCCCAACACAAGGGGACATGGATTTCTTGGAGCTCCTCTGGACCTCTGGAGGTCCAGAGGAGGGCTACAAAGATGATCAGAGGGCTGGAGCACTCCCCTGTGAGAACAGACTAAGAGAGCTGGGGCTCTTCAGCCTGCAGAAGAGAAGACTCCGAGAAGACCTTATAGCTACCTTCCAGTACCTAAATGGGGCCTACAGGAAAGCTGGGGAGGGACTTTTTAGAAGGGCATGTAATGACAGGTCAAGGGGAAATGGTTTTAAACTGAAAGAGGATAGATTCAGACTAGATATTAGGAAGAAAGTCTTTACTGTGAGGGTGGTGAGATCCTGGAATGGGTTGCCCAGTGAGGTTGTGGATGCCTCCTACCTGGAAGCATTCAAGCCAGGCTGGATGGGGCTTTGAGCAACCTGGTCTAGAGGGAGGTATGCCTGCCTATAATGGGAAGGGGGAAGTTGAACTGGATGATCTTAAAGGTCCCTTCCAACCCAAACCATTCTGTGGTTCAATGATAGTTGACAGTGTCATGGAGAAACAGAAGATATTTTCTGTATTGAAAGTAAGTATTAATACTTACACACTGTAAACTTACAAATTAAAATTGGCCAAACTATTTGAATTGTCAAAGTAGAACAAGAAAATACCACACAAATTTTTGAATCTTGTAAAACTTTGGAATGTTTTATATAGGTATAAACAGTACAAGCTGACGTTGTTTAGATGTAGCTCTTTGACTGGCTGGGCCATAACTGAATGTAAATCCAATTTCTATCAATACTTGAACTATTACAAGGATCCTCATCTTGACAAGAGGATGAAAAAAAAGTGGAAAATAGACAAGAAGGGGTTGGAGTGCTAGAAAATATTAGGGAGATGATTTACATTCTCATTTGCTATTTTCTGTTGCTCTGAATATTGCAGAATGAGGTTATCTCTGTATAACAGTGGTCAGCGCAGAAATATTGACACAAGACTAAAGGCAAGGAAGCAGCAGATAGTAGTGATGGTGAAGGATTTTTCCAGGCTGAAAAAGGTTGTAGCAGAAAAGACTTCTACTGGCTTGGAGATTTGTGTATAGAGCTGCTAGTGGTGATGTTTTGTGGGACCTTTGTGAGAATGGAGACCGTTGTATTTCTTGCAGTTTATATTGGCTTACAGGGACAGAGTACTAGGTGGCCCATGTTAGCATATGTCA